GCGGAAACATTCGGGGGCGGCAACATCATACGTAGTATCACAACAATCGTATCATAGCAATCAAAGTAAACACAACCATTACATTACAATCAAAGTAAACACAACCATTACATTATGTAATATAAGTTCGGTTCGAAAACCTTGGAATACCATCCAGTAAGTAGATAGGTAGTTTTATTACTTAAAATAAAACTATGGAAGGGAGAAATTTGTCACCCCAGGCGTGCCCGCCTAACTTCAGGCGTCGTACGATTACAAAATTTGTAATCGTACGATTACAAAATTTGTCACCCCAGGCATGCCCGCCTAACTGTAGCTAACAGTTCAGGTGTGGGATTGTCGGTCCCAAATAGATCTATCCACAAATTTCATGCTCTCCCTCCAGGAGACTTTGGTTATACTACCGGTGAGGATTTATTGGTACCCCAAGGGGCAAAAATGAAGATAGCCTCACAATCCTGTATTAACTAGTTTACATGTTATTCGGTTGTTCTCGAGTTCGAAATCGTTTGTAATGGTGTAGAGTATAAATAATTATACATAAAATAATAATTTAGCATGATACTCTAGTTTTGGTATGCGTAGTAATGGAAAACTAAATTTGTCATAGTTTATATGTTTGACTTTGCATGAAGTTTGAATCTATAAGACTGGTAATGAAATCCCAAACTATACATATTATAGTTTGAATGGTTCTTTACATTCGCATAAGGTTTTGAAAATATGCAATTATAAATTGAAAGCATCCCTTATGCTCCGCATAATACAAAAGGGATAATTGTATCTAAACGTTTAATAGAAAATCGTTGTAATTGCATCAGTTTTTAAGTTATGAAAACCTTTATGTTTAGCTTGTATTCCCCCCTGAAAACATGAAAAAATCAGAAAAGTGTAGGGGTATGAACTCACAAATTGTCTGTTTGGTTTTGAGTGTCGAGTGTCAACTGATGTTTTGTATGCGAGTGGACCCTATTATCATATATTGCACATATATGTATTAGATTGAGTATTCCCATGACAAACAATGATGGAAAACCACCCTAAAGACTTGGAATCACAAGAACTAAGTGTTCTATGTCCCATACTTAGCGATCTTTGCAAGTTTAAGGCCAAATATGAGCATTAGAGTGGGTGTATGGCCATAAAGATGAGTGTGCGGCCAGGGTGTGTGGCCAGACTGTGTATGCAGCTGCACACAAGGGTGTGCGGCCGTACACTCCTCATTTGTGCCCGAAATGTCGATTTTTGAGGTGTTCAGATGCTAAAACCGAGTCTAACTAGTTAATGGAGGCCAAACTCTTCACTTTGGAGAATTTTAGTGTGTGTGCGGCCACCTTATGAAGCTGTGCAGCCGCACTCCTTTAAAGGATGAAGAACACGAAGAACATGCAGAGTTTTAGGCCTACATTTAGGTGTTTTACCTGTATAACAAGCTAGATGATAGTGTTAATCATGTTTTTGAGGCCCTTAGAGTGTTCTTGGATGAGATTTTTAGAGAGAGAAAGTAGTGTGCAACCAAAGAAGAAAAAGTGAATGAAAGGGGGTCCTCTCCTATATATAGGGTCGGGTGTCTAGTTGGGGGTGTATGTGCGGTTGGGTGTGCATAGTGTGCGGACACACACACCTTCTTTGATGTGATTGGCTTGATTTTGTGATGCTACACACTTTCTAACCCTTCCTAAGACTTATATCTAGGTTATACTAAGCCGAAAGCACTCGTATGCACCCACAATTTCGCTAAAAGATGATAAATTCGAGTTTAATAATGATGTACTGATCAGTTGCATAGGATAAAAGTTCCGGGTTGTCACACCATGACCCTTGGAATCCTACATATAAATATGTTGCACCATATCCAAAATTGATGTACATGTTCTTGGAGTTCATTAAGTCGGTTTTGGTGCAAGAAATACTCTCTCAAAAGTCTCCTTTGTCCAAGGTGTGTTGTGAACCATTTGAGGTGCAGCAGTTAGGGCACTAAGTGCTTAAAGGCCAAAACTACAAGCTACAACAAAGAGGTAACTCTTTAACTCAATTCTATATGGTTTATATGAATTGAATGTTAGTTGTAGGCTTCAAGATTTGGAAACAATATTGTATGTATAATTAGAGAAAACATAGATCCAAAGCTTTTAGGGTTGTATGTGAACCATAGGATGTTGTAGTATACATGACCCAACAACACTGCCATTTTCAAAACTGCATGTATTCCTTGGAAATCGTGAGATGGAAGCCTACACTGTTGGAAGTTGCAGGTGATGGAGGAAGCAACTAGGAAACCCCTATAGTTTATTGTCCATGTTTAGCTGTTAAGACAAGCTTCTGTAATAGGAACCCTACAAATCTAATGTAACATTTTATTTATAAATAAAATAGAAGTTTATGTTACAAATGTGGTTTAATACTACTATATGTTCAAGGATTAAGAACTAACATCCCTACGTCGCACCGTCAGGCGTTTCCGTGGATAGCTGGGCAGGGTGTGACAGATCGGTATAAAAGCTTTGGCTATAGCGAACTAGTACAACCTTATGAAATATGGATATAGCTTTAATATCTTACTATGCAAGATACATACATTGCAGCTTATACGAAGATGCGGGTCAAAATGATCACTATGAGCAACACGAGTATACAACTTCCCAAACTACTTTTATTACCACCTAGAATCCTCAGGCTTCATCACAGGTTTAAATACTTAGTCTAATTCCCCTAATTAACATGAACAGATTAGTGAACCAAGGTACCCCATGAGACAAAAACAAGGGCGTTACAAAGGGACAATACCAACCAGATCTTAGAGCTAAGGTAAAATACCCTATAAGCAATTATATTTCATCTCATTTCCTTTCAAAGTATCATGCATTTGTTGTGAATCAAATATCATCGATATCTATTCCTAGCGATGTACAGAAGGCATTAAAGGACCAAAAGTGGAAATAAGCCATGAACAAAGAAATGAAAGCAATGTAGAAGAGCCATACATGGAAATTAATGTCTCTTTACCAGGAAAAAAGACTGTTAGATGTAGGTAGATATATTCTATCAAGATTGATTCAAATGGAAACATTGATATATATATATATATATATATATATATATATATATATATATATATATATATATATATATATATAAAGCAAGGCTCGCTGCCAAAGGATACACTTAAAAGTATGGGATTGACTATGGAGACACGTTTTCCCCTGTTGCAAAAATAAATAACATCTTTATTCTACTCTCCATAGCAGAAAATGAAGACTGAACCTTGAGACAATTTGACGTAAAGAAAGCATTCCTTTATGGGGTCCTAGAAGAAGAGGTCTATATGGAACCTCCTCCAGCCATAAATTTTAAAGGAAAAGTCTTTAAATTAGAGAAGACATTGTACGAACTAAAACAATCTCCCCGATCCTGTTTTGGTAGATTTTTGAACTTCATGAGAAAGATTGTTTATAAATAAAGTGATGCAGATCAAACACTCTTTGTCAAGAAAAAAGGAATTATGATGTCTGTCATTATTGTGTATATAGATGACATGGTGGTCACTGGAGATGACACAGAAGAAAGGACCAATCTCCAATCAGTCCTCATAAAAGAATTCGAATTGAAGGACCAGGGAAATCTTAAGTATTTCTTAGGTATCGAAGTGGCTAGATCAATTCGGGGTATCACTGTGTGTCAATAAAAGTATGTACTAGACTTACTCATTGAAACGGGCATGTTAAATTGTAAACCTGTAGAGACTCCCATTGAAATGAATCATGGTTTCCCTATCCATTCAGATTAAGTTCCAAGCAATAAAAAAGGGGTATTACAGACTGGTTGGAAAGGCCATATACTTATCTCACACGAGACTACATATTGCATATGCGTAATCATCATGAGTACATTCATGCACTCACCAAGTGAAGAAAGCATGAAGGCAGTCTACTCCATACTACAATATCTTAAGTCATCACCAGGAAAAAGGTTGTTTTTTGCTAAGAACAGAAGTGAAAAGATAAAAGGGTATACAGACGCAGATTGGGCTGGATTCAAAACTGATGGTAAGTCCACAACGGGATACTTCACTTTCGTAGGAGGTAACCTAGTTACATGGAGAAGTAAGAAACAAAAGTTTGTTGCCAAATCAATTGCAGAGTCTGAATTTCGATGAATGGTACATGGATTGTGTTAATTACTCTGGATACAACTAATCTTGATAGATCTTGGAATTAAGCAACTCTACACTATTATGTTATACTATGACAACCAAACAACTAAGAAAATGGTAAACAATCCCGTGTAACACAATAGAACTAAACATGTAGAGTTAATTGTCACTTTATTAAAGGGCATCTGAAAAAAAAGGGTACAATTAGCCTTTATTTGGTTGCCTTAGAATATGTTAACAAATATTGTTTGTGGAAGAGTCTTTCAAAGCTCTCTGGACAAGCTGTGAATGATAGACATCTATTCTCCAACTTTAGGGAGAGTGTTCGTGAGAACTTATTTTAGGCAATGATTTGACTACTTATGTATTTATCCCATTTCCTTGTTTATAGATGTTATTAGATGTATGTATGATGTATTTGTGTATATATTATATCATTTTCCAAATTTTTATATATCAATGAAAAACCTCTTCATATTGAATCCTTTGTTCTTCATATATAACATATATGAAATATAAATATAAACTATTTAATTTCTTTTTAGAAGAAATTGTTTTTAAGATATAAATTATTATAAAGAGTTGATAACAATAATTGTTTAATAACTACAAGTTAGTTGCAATTTTTATGAAAAAATAAGTAAAAAAACTTATTAAAATATTAGCTTAAGCCTAAGAATTTTAAAAATAAAGATCCCTACAAGCCCATTGAGTTCAAACAAGGCTTATTGTGATACCATATATATATGATATGAAAAATATTTCCATGTTATTATATATCTTAATCTTATACAAATTGAAACCGTATGCAACCTACATGTAAATACATATAAATTATAAAACCATTTCAATACAATGGACATAATAAACGAGGAGTTGGCACTGCGACCAATCGAATTGCTTTTGGTGCAGTGAGTCCAAACACATCACCCATGTCGATTTCACTCGGCTTCATCCCATCCGGCAATTCCCACGTGAAGCAATGCAAAAGGTGGGCCACCGCCATCTCCATCGCATACAACCCTAGTTGCATCCCCGGACACGACCTCCGACCAGAACCAAATGGAAGAAACTCATAGTTGCTTCCTCTAAAATCCGGAGCTCCGTTTTGTAAAAAACGTGACGGGTTAAACGTATCCGGATCTTCCCAAGAGTTCTTATCACGATTAATAGCATACGCGTTCACCATGACACGTGTTCCTTTAGGAATATGGTAGCCGGAAACTTCTGTCGCCTCCGAAGACTGGTGGAGGAGAACTGGGATCGGAGGGTGTAGTCGGAGGGTTTCCTTGATGACGCATTTGAAGTACGTAAGCTTCTCCAAGTCAGACTCCTCCACGCGCCGGTCAAGTCCGACGACATTTGCCATCTCCTGTTGCACGCGCTTTAGTGCTTCCGGTGTATGCATTAGCTCCGTCATGGCCCATTCTATGGCGGACGCCACTGTCTCAGTTCCACCGAACATTACATCCTACAAAAAGTTTTGGATTAACTTTTAGAATTTTGAATGTTATAATGATTTATAAAAAGAATGTATTCATGATTTCATTACTTACCATGATTATGGCTTTGATGTTATCTCGGGTAAGGTTAATGGCGTTTTGCAAATCACCACCTTCGTTGACTTTTCCTTCCTCACTGTAAAACGCCAACATCTCATCAACCATATCGTTATCCAAACCTTCATCGCCGGTTTTCTTTCCTTTACTCAAATGCTCGTCGATGATTTTGTCAATGAATCCGTCCAACGCCGCCCTGGCCGCCGGTAAACGTGTGTTCAACCCCGCCGGGTCAATAAACCCTAGGAACGGGATAAAGTCAGCCAAATTGAATGCGCCAAAAAGTTTGGTGTATTCTTGTAGGATTCTGATAAACTCTTCTTTCCCTTCATGTGAACTCGACCCGAAAGCAGCTCGGTAGATAATATCATGGGTCAACCCGAATACAAGCTCACCCAAGTTCACCGGCGTACCAGAGTTAATGGCGGTGGCTTTCACCATGGTATCGACCTCATCCCTGACGGAGTCCCATGACTCCGCTCGTTTCCGGCTGAACAGCTTCATGACACAAAGCTTTCGCATTTGTCGCCAGAAAGGTCCATAATTAGCAAACGCCAAATCTACGCCGTTGTAAGTCAGGTAAGTGATGGCGATGGTTGCCGGACGGTTGGCAAAGATGTTATCTTTTTCTTGAAGGATTATCCTCGCCATCTCCGGCGAGGACACTGCAATGGTGTGGCTGAAACCCATCTTTAGATGAAGGATACCACCGTATTTTTCCGCCAAACGGGCTAAGCCACGGTGGGTAAGTTGGTCCATCATCAACATGTTGCCGATGATTGGCCACCCCATTGGCCCCGGCGGGAGTGGTTTCCGGCGGATCCATGAAAGAAAGAAGAAAGTTAAGATAGCTATTATAGCGTAGAATGCTATGGGGATTTGAAGTGATTCCATTTTTGATTCAAATGGAGGTTTTAAGTGGCAACTGGATGAATGTTGCTACCTAAAGAGTGAGATAAAGGGGTGTTTATATACAAGTTGAGAGGGCACACCCTGTTTGAAAGGTGGGAAGTCGTATGGATATTAGTTTTTTTTTTTTCCTTTTTTTATTTATTTATTTAAAATGAGAATTACAGGAAATGTTTGACTAATTCTTTTGTCTTGAGACAAAGACGTAGAGTGCCGGTCAATTATTTACACATAAATATAATTTGATATTTTATTCGGCTTAGATCTGATAGAATTATGTCAGCATAACGTTGCTAGTTGCTGGCTACTACACAAGTGACTTGGTCGACCAATTAATTTTACATTCTTGTAATCATATGAGATAAATTATTTGTTTAGGTTATTGTTTATTTACTTTTTTTTTTTTTTTTTTTTTTAATGATTATGTTTAGATTACAAGAGTTTTGTGGTAATGGATTTTTGGATAAGTTGTTAAGGAAAATGATTTGTAAGTTCAATAAAGTTTTCAACCGTTAAAAAAAAAAATTTAATCATGTTTTTTCTGTTCAAGAAAACCCAACGAATTTAACATTCTGTTTAAAAAAGTTTAACGAAATTTACAAACCGTTCAAAAAACTACAATTATGTTTTGTTTATTCAAATGATTAAGTTCGTTGTGTTTTTTTAACAGACAAAACATGATTGCGGTTTTTTGAACGGCTTGGAAACTTAGTTGAATAGTTGGTTTGAGAAGTCATTTTTTCAATATGGTAATAAGTCGCGTCATCTGTTTTTCTTCTTTGAATTTCATAGAGTTGAACAAAAGTGTAACTAAGTTGGGTTTTTTTAGATAAAATAATAAGTTCTTTGAGATTTCTTGAAAAAACAAAAAATAATTAAGATTTTTTAAACGGTTTGAAAACTTTATTAGACAGGTAAGTCATTTTCCCTAAGTTGTTACACTAATTGCATCAAGTATATAATATTCTTTTTTAAATATAAATCATAAATCGTGTTTGTAATATAATATACCAACAAAGACTAGTAATTTTGAAAATTAATATGACATGTCAGAAATAACTCTTTTTAATGTACCACTTGTTAAGATGTATTTAAGTTTAGAATAGAGAGTATTAGCGTTTAACAATCGGTTACTTTACCAACCACTCACATGTTTTTTTAATAATATTTAATTATTTCTGTTTTAGTTTTGTTCTCCTTATGCAAATTTCGATCTTTTTTTTACCTTATGTCTATTATTATTGATAAAAAAAATTAAAAATTAAAAAACTTTATATGGTTCATCGATATGACTTACATTAATGTAGATAGATACCAAACATATTTTCTATTATTCAAATCCTTCAAGTTAATACATTAAATTCATATAATTAACAAAAATATTTATTCAACTGACTTCGAGTTAATACATTAAATACATATAATTAAAAATCAAAGTAATTATTAGGCACAACCCATATAATTTCTACAATAGAAAAAATTAAGAAAACAACTTAGGGGTCGTTTGATACTTGCTAATTGAGTTAGAGCTAACTGGATTAGTAGCTGATTGAGTTAGAAATTCTGACTATGTTCACATCTGACAGAGTTTATGTTGTTTGATTATTTATCTGACTGATTGTGGTGAATGATGAAAAATGATCGTATTACCCTTATGTTGTGCTAGATAAAACAAATTAATGTTCATGTATACATGCATCAAAAAAAGTTTTGTTCACAAAATTCGATGACCAACTAGTTCTATTTTTCTTTTCTGCCATGTCTAAAGAATAAATAAATGTTAAACATGTTACATTAATATATACACAAAAACGTACACATATACACATATACACCAAGATGTTGCTATCTTGTATTTGTTTTTCTCCCAGGGCTACACGATTTGAAGCAACAAAGAGATAACCATTTGAAGCAATAAAGAAGACAATAATTTGAAGCAATATACACCAATACCAAATATTTCAAGCCAACCACAACTGTTTCACAACCAATGAAATCAAACATCCTAATCTATTTTTTTTTTGGACTGGGTCCTCTCTTGGATCCAATTAGAAGCATAAACAAATGAACCCTTCAAATTGTAAGTCATTTTCCCTAAAGTTATTACACTAATTGCATCAAGTATATAGTATTCTTTTTTTTTTTTTTTTTTTTTTTTTAATATAAATCGTAAATCGTGTTTGTAATATAATAAACCAACAAAGACAAGTATACTGTTTTACAAACACGATTTTGAAACTTCGTTGTTTCCAAAAAAAACAAAATAAATAAATAAATAAAATATAAAAAAAATAACTGTGCATAAAAACCAAAAATATTTTCTATGCTTTTGGGTTTCTAAATATTTGTCTTTGAGGGTTTTTTTTTTTTTTTTTTTTTTTTTTCATATATACTCTTCTAACTCGTTAAACTGTACAGATATAGTCCTAAAGACCGGTTAGTTCAAGTAAACCAAAAAAAAATGTCATAATATGGTAATATATTTCTCACTTTATACACATTTAATCGTTAATATTTTTTAGCATATTTAGTCATTAATAATTTTTTTGTTGCAAAATAGACCGTTGTTTTTGTACACATTCAATACTTATGAGCGGTTTCTTTAGAATTTTCTAACGTTATCATACATGGGACAATCACTAATAAGGTGTTCGGTGCTACTAATCCTTATGACCAACGCAGTTGGTTGCTTAAGTCTTGTGGTTTGATGTAGGTCTTATGTTCTGAACATCATAACTTCTTCATATGATCTAAGATTTTAGCAATGTTTATATCCATGCGCTTGTATTTAAGTCTATTATAATTTTTGTTTAGATTAATGTTGTTAAAAAGTAATATATTTTACTTATAATTTTATAGAAAAAAAAATGTTTATACATACATTCATAAAGAACGAATGGATATAATAATCGTAAGTAAAATTATATTATTTTTTAATGTGAGTAATCTAAATGAAAGTTGTAGACTCAAATACAAACACACTAATATAAAGATCGTTAAAATCCAAGATCATATGAAAAGTTACGACGTTAAGAACACAAAACTAAGTTAAACCATAAGATAACCAAGCAGCCGAAGATGCAGTGGCTATAAGCATTAACAACCTCGAAAATCTTATTAATTATTGTCTCACATCGGATGTCATGAGAAAACTTCAAAAAAACTTCTCATAAGTATTGAATGTATACAAACACAATAAAGACTTATTTTGCAACAAAAAAATATATTCAGGACTATATATATATATATATATATATATATATATATATATATATATATATATATATATATATATATATATATATATACACACACACCTGATTCCAGGTATGCATTTAATTCAAGTAATTCTTATATTTTTCCTTAGGACTCGACGAGTTGGGGGCCCAACTCGTCGAGTAGACTCACGATCCGCGGGAAGTTTAAGAGATCTACTCGACGAGTCGGGATACCGACTAGGCAAGTAGATGTTGTTTGAGTGAAATCCTAAATTTGAGGGTTTGCACCCTATTTAAACAACTTATCTCTCCCCATCTCAACCTCCATCGTCCCTTATACTTCCAGAAGACATTAGCCTGAAACCCTAACTTTTTTGAGTTTTCTAAGGGCATTTTTGTGCATTTTGGTGGATTGCGAAGCTTGAAAATAGGAAAGGAGCTTGGGAGTTCAAGTTGAAGCTAGAAGATCCAGAGATTGTGTTCCATTTCTAGCTCATTTAAGGTAAAAAGCTTCTATCTTGATCTTCCATGTGCTTAATCATCTTTAGGTCTTGGATTTTGGTATATTTAGGGTATTCTAAGCCACTTTCGGGTTGTGGAGTGTAATATGGAGTTATGGCTTCGAATCTTGGTCTTCGGAGGGGTCTCATGGCATAAAGGTGCCAAATCTATGGCCATGAGTTATGGCTTCGAATCTTGGTCTTCGGAGGGGTCTCATGGCATAAAGGTGCCAAATCTATGGCCATGAGAGCCCCATGCATATTGTAGGTCTCATTTTTGGTCCTTTTGAGCTTAAAGACCCATGCATGGACGTAACGTTCATGAGTTTACGTGTTATATCGACCCTAGGATATCAGATGTACCGTTTGGATGAGATGAGCTTAACAGAAATCGAGTTTATGGACATGAACCTTAGTGGCCCGGTGAGTTGTTCTTAGGACTCAGCGAGTCAGGTAGTGGTTCCCCAACCTTTGTTGTTTTGGGGGTCTGGTTGACTCTAGAGAAGGACTCAATAAAGTTGGACGAGATTATAGACCTGGAAATCATGGGACTTGAAAAGTGTATGGACAAAGTCGACGAGTCTAAGGAAATCTCCCAAACCATGAAGACGGACTCGACGAGTTGTTCATACAACTCGGTAAGTCATAGATTGAACACATCCTTACGAGTGAGATGAACTCGACGAGTTCAAGGGGAACTCGGCGATTCGGTTGAAGATAGTCCTGATATTATGGTTGAAGGAGGTCCCTTCGAGTTGTTGCTAGAATCGACGAGTGGAGTCGGGAGTTGGATTATTTTGGAGGAATAGGGACTCGATGAGTTGGTAGACCAACTCGGTGAGCCAAGTCAACTGGAGGTTGACTTTGACCAAAGTTGAGTTTAACCAGGGTTTGGGTTGACCCTTATGGGGGTTGTGAGTATGAATTAATGACTTAATAGAGTTATCATGTAGGGATTGACGAGCCGAGGAAAGACGATTTCCACACCGGAGGCAGTTCAGACACTACGCGACCTTGAGGTGAGTTATCTTCCAGTAAAAATGGGTCTAAGGCACCAAGGCCGACCCACTAGTAGGTGATTACAGTTGAGATGATTGTCTTTGTGATAATTTTCTAGTTTGTTATTACTTGATATGTTCTATGTGCCAGTATGCTATGTTCTATGTGATAGTGGTAGTAGGATGGGAATAGTTCCCCAATCGGTTGTTAGGACCAAAGGGTAGGTCGGACACCCCAGATATGTCTGACAGCATGTTTATGATATGTT